TAGATCAGCCCAAGAGAGCCATAAACATGCAATGTCTGTTGAACAGAGCCATTTGTGCAAACCCTGAACCCTCTCCCTCTCCCTCCGCAGCACTGCTTTCGCACGGAGAAACCCTTAACTCCAAGACCTACGCCTTCATTACTAGAATATGAATTGCAAAGCAACGCCCCGAAACTGCAAACCCTAGATCTGAACAACAAACAACATATTGCTTTACTATTACTACCGATACTCTGACTATTTGACATGTTATCAGCATTCGCACTAGTATTTGTATGCTCACTGATACTTTGACTATTATTAGCATTACATTGTCATGCTTCGTATCATGGTTTTACAAAATTGTTGTCGCCAGGACCGCTATTTCACTACTAGTGCTACGCACATTCATAGCAATATTCAGCCCTAAAGCCTGAGCCCTAAAACCGGAAGCCCTAGACCCTAAACCCTGCAAATCCTAAGCCCCAAACTTAAAATTATAGGCTCAAGAGCGTAAGCTCAAGCCGACTCGGAAAGTCCTGAGACCCTCCCGTCTTCCCCCCGCCGCTCCTCCTAGTCGGTGTGTGGGTGCCGAGTAGACACACCGCCGGGCATGGCTTCGGTCCCGATCTCCGGCGAGAGCTCTGATGGTGAAGAAGGTGGAGAGCGAGGTCACAGCCCCAAAGCAGCCCGAACAAGTCGTGGAAGAGCCAGCCGTGATGGTGGTGGGGTGACACTGAGTGCCTTGAAGAACCTTCTCGAGATCCAAAGTGCTGAAATCGCCAGGTCTCAGGCTGTAGAGATCAGAGGGGCAATCCACGAGCTTAAGGAGGCGACAAAAGCAGAGCTCAGAGGTATCAAGGAGGAGGTCAGTCGCCATTCGGACTACATCGTGCAGCTCCGCGACCAGGGAGAAAGGATGGAAGCCCGTATCCTGGCCCTTGAAAATGCTAAAGGCGAAGGGAGCACCGCTTACTTGGGGAGCCACGTGGAACAGCACCAAAAGAACTTACTCATCCTTGGAGGATGGTCGCCGGATACCCACAGGGACGACCTTCTGCCGGAGTTGCGGGAAATGCTCGAGAGGATCGGGGTGCTGGCGGAGTTCCAGGACATTTTCACCACCGGTCCTCGCCGTGGCCATGCGATGGGAATAGTAAAATGGGACCAAGGCCTGAGTGACCAAGAGCTCAAGAAGAAATTGATCAAGATTGTTCAGGAAATCAGAGGGGCGAGTATGGCCAGCAAAGGGATGGCGGTGGGAAAAACCCTGTGGGCGGTCATTAGCAAGACGAAAGCGGAACGGCTGCGCAGTGGCCATGCCGGCAAAACCAAGCGACTGATTTTGGAAACCAATGAGTCCGAGCGGCACGCTATGGACGTCGAGTGGGGAGCCGGATCGGTATGGATGAGATCAGTCATGGTGGCGAGTGCAACACGAGCGGCCCCAAGAGACTCAGTGGTCAAGCAGGGCAAGATCCCGGGGGCCTGGGTGGACATCAACCAGATCGCGCGCCTGATGGGGGCTTCGGCTGAGGTGCTGGAGAACCGATGGTCCGAGTTGATCGCGGAGTGACAGGACTCCGAGGCTGAGCTAGAATTTGTTTATACCGAGTGTATGCATGTAAAGGAGTCGCGGGGGCCCCGCTGCCAACAAGCGCGGAGGGGCAAGCGGAAAACTGCAGTCCCTGTGTATAGCGACGGCTCCTCCGAAAACCCAGTCCTGCAATCCTTCAGTCGTCTGGAAGGCAGCCCTCAAGGGGCAAATGCTGACGAGGATGACATTCGATTTTTCAGTTGGAACATAGGGGGCAAACCGACAGAGTCGGCCATCGCTGCCATTCAACACAGCAATGAAAAGACTGAGGGGGCGATCTTCGCCTTCCAAGAACTACCACGAGAGCAACCTGGGTGGAGAACGGTGTATATTGACACGAAGACGGTGATCCAGTACAGGGGCGAAGACCAGTGGAGAGGAAATGGAGTATGCTTCCAGACGGGCAAGTACGAGGTGCTCAGGAGGAAAGCAAGCAATCTCGGAGTGTGGCTGAGGCTGAGAGAAGTAGCCACGGCACGGGAGATGTGGGTGTGCTCGGCGAGGTTGAGTAGGGGAGTCTTGCCGAAGAAGCCCATAGTGTCTTGGCACTTAGACCCCCTACAACCCTGCCCAGTATATTGTTGGCTGATTTCAACACCAGGCTGAGGTGGACAGGGGCTGCAGGCCATCTAGGCCAGCCAATGCCCTCGGATGGTAGAGCTGACTTCCTGTGTGGTGAGTTGGAGGGCCAGGGCTACCGGCTCCACGCACCCATTGCGAGGCAGTGGGACACCCCCACCAGCAGGCCGAGGCGCCGAAATGCAGTTGGCAGGCAGATAGACGGGGTTGCTACCAAGGGTACAGGGAGGCCGGTGATTACTATTGAAGAGGGGTCCTACAGACAGATCTGTGGAGACCATGACCGGCTACAAGTAGTCCTACGAGTGAAGAGAGCCGGACACACCGTGCCAGTGTGGGACACCAGACCCGGGGTAACGACAGGCCCCATCCCAGCACGGCCAGGACTCAACCAAACTCGGGTGGAGCAACTAGCAGTAGAATTCTCTGCGCCGCGAAAGGGGTCGAGGTACCGGGATCTTGCCTCAGTCCGCCGACTGTTCCGGGAAGCGCGGAGAGTGGACACAGAGGAAGCATGGAAAGCTGCACAGAGTGCGAGACGGAGTGCAAGGGATGTGTGGCACCAAGCTAAAGTGATAAAGGCAGGGGCAGGGAGATGGCAAGAGGCGAAGGAGCTCCGGGACAGGCAGGGGACAGAGTGGGCGGTCTACCTGTCCGAAGAGGCCCATGCCACCGGAAAGGACCCCCTAGTGACCCTAGTGTGGACTGCCACGCACTTTGCTGATATCTTCCGAGAGGCCACAGTCTCCGAGGACATCGAGTGGCGAAGAGGAGAGCAGGACGGAGCGCCCTTCACAGTGGAAGAACTGAGGTCAGTCATCCAGAAAGGCAAGAGGAACAAAGCAGTAGGGATCGACCTCACGTCCTATGAGCTCGCCAAAGAGTTGTGCCGAGATGAGACCAGCGAGCAGGCCCTCCTAGCATGGATGGAATCGGTCCAAATGGGAGCATCAGTCCCTGAGGCATGGCTAACTACCATCATTACACTGTTGCCAAAGAAGCAGAGACCGGTAACGCCTGCAGATCTTCGCCCCATTAGTTTGGGCTCATGTATGGGGAAGATTTTCGGGGGCCTTCTACTGCAGAGAACGAGAACGGTCCTCCTCCCACAAGGACCGGAACAGTGTGCTCTGGGGGGGAGGCAGACCTCGGACTACCTGTTCAGTGTCATGAAGACCTTTGCTGTAGAGACCGAGTGGAAGTTCGGATTGAATTGGTTGAAAATCGACATCCATAAGGCGTACGACTCCATACACAGAGGCAAAATCCTAGAGTACCTGGAACGGAACCTTCCGGAGAACTATAGGAGGGAGTTCGAGGCCTGGAAGCAGATGCTGAAGCCCGGACGTGCACACATTCGGACTCCTTGGGGCAGCCAGTGCATAGCCCAGACCAGGGGCATACGTCAGGGCTCAGTGGAATCTCCCTTTATATTTGCCATAGCGATGGAGTGCGCTCTGCACCAGGTTCAGGCAAGCGAACAGTGGCCCCGTGAACTAGGCTGTGCCCCTGACATGAAGCTCACGTCGCTCTTGTTCATGGATGATAGCATCTTGTGGGATAGCTGCCGAGACCACCTAGCCTTGAAATACCGGCTCCTGGGCGAGGCACTGCGCAGTTGGGGTCTTGCAGTAAACCCGAAGAAGACGCTGTTTTACGCCAGCCCCTACTCCACCGCAGGCCCGCAGATCGTTCTGGATGGTGTCACCATTGAGTCGTGTAAGGCATTAGAGGTTATGGGGGTACGGCTAGCGGTACCTTTCAAGCCTGCATCAGTCATGGACACGGGCATGGCCAAGGCGAGGAAGAAGTTCCATGCGATGTCCCATATACTCCTGTGTCGGGGAGCCCTAAAGGAGCGGCTGAAGGTTTTTCGGTCGGCGGTGGGCGGGGTGGTTTGTGGTACGCAGGGGCAGCCACACCGAGTCCGCAGGCCATGGGAGCACTCAACACTATGCAATTGGAGATGGTAGCTCGAATGTCGGGGTTACGGAGGAAATCCTCGGAATCCTGGCTTGAGTTCCGAATGCGCAGCCTGCGAGCCGCCCGGCAGATACTAGTTAACGCGGGCGTGGAGAGGTGGAGTGCCACATGGTTGAGGCGCCACTGGCAGTATCGGGGACATGTCGTAAGAGCGGGCCTTCGAGAGAGCCCCCCTGCTAGTGTTCACATGGACTTGTTCAGAACGCTCCAATGGTGGAGAAGGCAACAGAGATGGAAGGATGGAGTTCGCCATCCAGAAGCCTTCTACCCTCATCTGTCGAACGAGGAAATCAGGCTCAATCGAGCCGCTGGAACAGACGACTGGCGCGAGCTGGCCAAGAATGGGCCAGAGTGGAAGTTGGGGGAGGAAAGGTGGGTGCAACAGAATGATGTTGCATGGTGCTCAGGGCGCCAACTGACCCTGGGGAACTGAAAAGGGGGGGCGGCAGAGACTGGGAGGGGCTAATGACTCAAACCAAACGAGGAGAAGCTCACCCACCCCTGCGGCTACCCCAACCCCTGGATGCCCGTCGACCCTCAAAACCATTGCCACTACCCGAAACCCGAACAGATCAGCTTCATTTGCGGAGATGAGTTGCAGCGATAGAAGTATACAGCAGTGACCAGTGAGCCACTACATGAACAACACGGTGCAATGTGCAGTAACACGTCTTCATGCTGTTTGCCAGAGACATGTTTTCTTCAAGCCCCATCTACACACTCGCAGCTTTTGCTGAGGAGGCACTTCTGTGCCGACACTCACGACCCAGTGTTCGCAGGCCACACTGTAAGCCCTGCAGGAATGCAGAAGATGAGGTGGGCGGCCTGTGTAGCAGCCCTCTGCTGCTCCTATGCACCCGTGATGGCTGCGGCTGGAGCCCAAACTCAAGACGCCGATTCCCCACGCGAAGATGCCGGTCGGCGCAAGCACATGCCCCGGGACAACATGGAGGTACTGCACCGACTGCACCACCCCTTGCCCACCGAGCAGGACCAGGAAGAACACCGCAGAGACAGCGATCCGGGACAGGGCGACCCAGATCGGCGGAAGCACGGCCCCGTGAAGTGCCCGAATTACACGATCCTGCTGAAGAACGGCCAGACCTGCGAGCGGAGTGGGAGCAGTGAACCCGGGCAACGAGAGCCACCTGGGCAGCAAGGGGACCACAATGCCCACCGGCAGTACACGAAAGTCCCGAAGAAGGGCAAGACCCACCACAACGGAGATGAGCCCCACGAAACGCTAGATGAGCTGTCGAGCTATGTGCAGCTCACGGACCTGGTCGTCCTTGCCACTGCCCGAACCACCTGGCCTACAGATGACGATGACCCCTTCCAGGAAGGGTGGGAGCCGGTATGGTATGCCACGATTCTTGCCGATGGTCATGAACTGCAGCGATCGGGAATAGACACCCTGACCTTTGCGGACGCCATCGACCGAGCGATCGCCAGCCGAAATGATAACAGGTATGCGGACGAAGCAAGAGGCTGGGCAGCTGGCCTCCGTAAACGGTGGCTTAGACGACCTCAATACGGACGACCACACCGATGGGGCCCACATCCACCCGAGTATGCCGAGGAGTTTGCGACCGATGTGGAGAACATGATGCGGGCAAGATGGTTGAGAGAGCTGTGCCCTGAGGCTGTCATGAATCGAGCATGTGAGGGCTCAAGGATTGCCGCAGGCTTCGCCGATCCATCTTGCAGCTCCGAGGCACTGGAGAGAGAGTGGCACGAGGCCAGGAACCGTCACTTATCGCGATCAAGAACTCCACAGAGACGCCACGCGCTTGCAGCCGGACCTCGTCCACCTGACAACCAAGGAGGCGGACCGAGTAGACGACGGATGCTTGAAGAGGACCTGAGCTGCTGGGACTCCGAGGTCCGAATGCACCTCCTCCACTATGGCACACAGGCCTCTCAGGAGGCCAACGTTGAAGATGAGACGGGTACAAACTCACCTCGGCGACTACTTGGACGAAGAGTATCCACCACAACCACGACCGAAGAAGCAGATGAACCAGACCTCTCTGCCCTAGTGGTGCGGAAGTGGCTCCTGAAGAAGAAGGGAAAGGGCGGGTACATGCGCAGGCTTGTGGACAACCCGGCAGCATGGAAGCAGGGCCCAGGGGTCAAGGTGACGACCTCGACAAGACATCTCCTCCACGGTCGCCATCATGTAGGAGGAGCCGCGTCGACCTGAGGGCGGCACAGGTTCGGCGACGGCGACAACCGATGGGCCCATCGAGACACCCTTCCCTAGTGGCACCGATACGGAGCCCCAGGATATGGGAGATGCCCATTTCATCTGGAGGGCAATGCTGCAACTTGAATCCGACGAAGAGTGCGAAGACGCCGAACCACAGAGAATGCCGGGGTTCATCAACGACCCTGTTTGGTCCAGTGTGTGGGAGACCCTGATGAACCAGTCCGAACCGGCCTTTCGCCTGATGCGCAGAGCACTACCTGGGTTCCTGGAACTCGTCGGCCAGGACCTACAGAGCATTGTGGACCAGGTGGCACACCAAAGAGGCATCGCCGATGATGCCGAGGAAGACGAGGGAGAACAAGCCTCGGCAAGCACAGCAAGACCTGGAAGGGAAGCCGAAGAGACGGATGAGGTCCAGGTTCAAGTTGAAGAGGAACAGGCCGATGGAGAACCAGACCTCTCTACCCTGATGCAGAGCAAGAGCAAGGTGGCAGGTGGGCGAAGCTCGCCAGCCGGACGAGCCCCTGACAGCGATCCAGGACAACCCGGAGAAGGTGGGCGGGAGCTCATCCCAGGGGAGGTGCCCGAGACGGTGACCGAGCCGAAGAACGACGAACAGAGCAGCTCCATTCGGAGCCTGACCCGAGAATGCAACAGTAAACTGTGTGTTCTGCGAGATGAACTCGAGGAACAGTGGTACCAGGGCATGGAGGTGAACTGCGCAATCAACAAGTTACGAGCGGAATGCACGGCCGGGCTCCGGGATGTGGAACTGCAGGAGTGCACTCACATCCTGCAACAGCTCCTCGCGGTCATCCCCCCAGAACACCAGAGACCGCAGCCGACAGGAAGGCCAGAGAGTGACTGGCCCCTTAGCCCCTCCCAACAACAATGGGTGATGACTACGGCTCAGCAAGTGCGACAGCTGACCACTTTGAGTGCACAACCCGATGACGGTGAGGAGGTGGCCATGATGCAAAGGACGCTCACAGGCACCCTTTTTGCAGAGACGCCCCACCTTGCGAAGTCGCTGAACCAGGACCTTGATGCCGCATCTTAAGAGGAAGCCGCGAGTCTTGCAGCGGCCCTACTCAAGGCCATCCAGCAAAGGGCGGCAGACGTCCCAGAATGGGATAGTGTCCACGCGGTGTTGGTGGCACATGCCGGCAAGCCCAAGGCGGCACTTTGCGGGGCCCCCATCTACGGACGTGAAGAGTGGCTACGACGATGGACGGCCAGGTTGCTCATACGCGGTGGGATAGCAAATGAGCCTCTTGAACCAGAACGAGCCTCGTCCTCGCATGAGATCCCTGTCCCGGCGAGGGAGGAAACGCCGGAGGAACAACAAGAAAGGCTGGCGCGGCAACAAAATGAGGAGGACGCGCAGCTGTACCGATGGCACCAACGAGAAGTAGCACGTGAGGAGCAACAGAGAGCACGAGAAGCACAGCTACGTGATCGGGCAACCCTACAGGCTCATCTTGGATGGAGCAGTGCCCCGCCAGGAAAGAAAATCCGAGTGACAGTGGAAATGAGGTCGACCACGGCAAGCAAGTACTCGGAATGGGAGGTGGGAGAAGGGGACGAGATCAAGATCAAGCTGGGCATCAGCATGGTGGAACATGGCGGCAACCACATCCACGAAGGAAGGAAGGTCGACCGAGAGATCGGCACACGGGAGCTGCTGAGGCGGGAGCAACAACTGGTGGAACAAATGCAGCACGACCAGACCCGCCCAGGAGACGAGGACAAGCCGGAAGACAAGCGACAGTCGTGGAGCACTAACGACCCAAACCTGCAGCCGCACTACCAGGCATGGAGAGAAGGACGCACCGACTTCAAGGGCCTTGTGGAGAGAGTCGGCGAGGATGCGGCGGTGTACCTTGTGGAGGCAGCCGAGGTGGCCCAACTTGAGTTGGACACAGTGCCTGATATGGACGTGAGCGCGCGAGATGAGTGGCTGCGGGGGGAAGATGTCGACAATATCCTAACAAGACCGGCGTGCATCGCAGATTACTACAGATGGGCTGAAGGGGACCTCATGGAGAGCGACGTGGTGGACAAATGGGGAGGGCAGGTCAAAAGGGCTTTCCATGCATGGTTCATAGCAGGAGGTCCGCCACAACACCCAGAAGATGGTGGAGAGGCTGCGCCACTTGCGGAACGGACCGAGATGGAGGAGGAAGCCCACAACCAGGCCTTGGATGCTCCGGATCTCCCAGAAGGTGAAGGTGGCATACCCGACACGATGGATGAGATGGAAACGGTCCCCTGGGAGCCACCGGCGTGGGATATCTATGTGCCGTACAGCAATGTACCGCCTGGAGACCGAAGGGCAGAAGAGGAGGGCAGCGATGAACATAGGCGACGGGATGGGATCAGAAAGTGGGGATCCCCGAGCTCGGGAAGCTGACGTGCCAGAGAACTACACAGTGAGTGAATGGTGACTAGTGCAAAGCCTGTGAGTGTGCTTGTGCTGCTGCTAGTCTGAGGGTGAGGTCCCATGATTCATATCTGAGCAGTGTTGCACTTGGTAGCCCTACTACAAGCAGACTAGCACACATCGGAAGGGCAAGATTCATGTGTAGAGTGAGCTCCACATGGAAGCGCACGACACCGTGCCAACAAAGGGTAATTGTCTGTGATTATGTTGACTTGTTGAGTTTATCGTGAGATGGCAAGATGGTGTCGGCCTCGGATGGCTTTGGCAGTGTGGCAGGCAGATGGGTTGGACCGTGTTTGTGCCTTGGCGTAGTGGAGGTAGTAAAATAGTGCATATGTGTCCAACAATGCCGCATCTGCAAAGTTCGCCAAATCAGAGAGCCCTACAACCTTGCAAGCCCAAGCCCAGCTGGTGTGATGTGTTTACGGTGCAGATGTCCAGCTGTTAATCGCTATGCTGGATATGCTGTGGTATCACCGGCTTGGGCAGTGCCACAGGGAAATAGTGGTTTTGCATTGAGGTTGTATGTGAATGGTTACCTGACGTAATGGCAGTTTGTCGGGTAGTAAGGAGTGGCACGCCAGGGTTGTGCTTGGAACCTTGGGCAGGGAGACAGTCCAAAGTGCAGCAGGGAACGACATCTTTCAAAGTTTAGTGTGTTTGAGCTTTGGGTGCTGCGAAGGCATGTGTCTGCCGGCGATGTGGGCGACGGAATGCAGAGTCTAGCCAGTACGGGGTGGAATCAGTGGTGTGGTGGTAGAATCCCTGCCATAAAATCCCGTCGCCCACACACTCCCTCAACCGGTACGGTAGTCTGGAGGCTGCGGTTAAAAGACACGAGGGTTCAAAAAAAAAAAAAAACTTAAAATTATACAAAGCTGTTTTAGGTAAGCCTCGGCAGCAAGGGATTGGCAGACTGTTGAGGGCTTGGGGATTAGGGGGATTAGGGCTCCAGTGCAAGGTTTAGTGATTCTAGGCTTGCCCGGCCGGGCTAATAATTGCGCTTTGATTGCAGTGAAAGGCCTTGACAGGCAAGGCCGTTGGGGGCTTCGGGTCGGGAAGGCATTAAACTCGCACCCGCCCTGTAACCGGTGAAGGCCGTGGCGCCTGAAAAGCTTGTGAATCTGCAACATCGAGGTTTCTCGAAACTGCAGATACTTTATTGGAGGGTCTCGGGCATTGTGAATTTTCTTGCCTTTATAGATCCTTGTTTCTCAAAATCATCACTAAGCCCAAACCGCATATGAGGGCCCCCAGAGAATCCGGAGTCGGACCTATTTCATCCCCCGGTCCCTACGGGGACCCCCATTCTGGTAAGTTCCCAAGGCAAGATGATGGAAATCCGTGCTTAGGGAAAAGTCAAGATATATCCAGGTAGCATTCTCATTCTCATGGGTACCAGAAGTGTTTCGAATTATGCCCACCTACCCCCTTTGACCCTAAATGGCCCTAAATATCTGTGTCCACCCAGTTTGTCTGCTTCTTTGTCCCCATTCTTTTCCGGTTGGTAAGCCCTGCTGAGCGGGGCAAAGCCCGAACACTCTCCCTCTCCCCCCCCTCCGCACGAAGGTTTGCTGCTCGTCAGGTTGTGCCTTCTCCAGAAATGCGGCGCTGCGCATGCTCGTGTCGCATGGTTCGGCAAAAAAAAGCGTTTTGCGTCCTGCCTTGCTGGCTTTCCAGTTCGGACTCGGATTTGAACTGCTCTGATTTCGGCGAGACATGTTCACTTGAGTCCTTCAAGTTTCGATAATTTCGTTTGCGTCTTTCTATTTTTCAGGGCCTCGAGGCCCGCCAAAGAAGCGTGCATGCCTGAAGATCCCAAAACTCTTAGATCGAAAGCTGGTGATCTCCGCAGTGTCGTACAGCTGGGCACGCAAAACTGAGCTCGGACCTCGAATTGTAAACTCCAGCGTCGGACTGACACAACCGCGAGGTTTGTTTACAGAAAGCTTGACACCTCCAAAAGGGGAGCCTTTTGCCCGGTGCGAGTGTGAGGGTTGAGACCTGAAGCAGAACCTCCAGGCTTGTAGTCTGATGCATTTCAATTCTCCAGAGGGGAGAGCCTCTCAGAGTTGCTATGGTGGCCGAACCAGAGTTGATGCAGTCAGCCTAGGCTGCCAGAAGCTCCATGCGTTAGGGCATACATGTTGTGTGGGCTTCACGGATCTTTGGGATTCAGGGTTTTGGGTTCTAGCCTTGACGTCATTATGAAGTTTAGCTGATCGGATCCGTTTTCTCAGCATCTTGGCACGAGGCACCCAAAGCCGAGCTTCGATTGACAGGACCTCGCAGCTTAACTGCTCAGCGCACCGAAATTGAAAGCCTTAGCCCCGGAACGCTTAACCCCTCCGTTTCCTTACGCTGAAATTACAAATCTTTCAGCCATCACAAACCCGGATCGATGGACAGTACTGCAGTTCCCGGAGACATCCATGGGAATACCATGAATCTATGTGAAAGTTAGGTGGTAGTGCTGAGCACCCATGGCTCCAGTGAAGCACGATGCCGCGCTGGTTCGGCAGCTCGTGAGCTTTCAGGGTTCGTTCCAACGGACATACATATCCCGAGGCAACCGAGGCAGGTCGATAAGGGGAGAAGGGCGAAGCAGATCATTAGGCCAAGTCGGATGTCCAACACCCAAGGACGTCAGATTATCGCGCAGTTTCCTCGTGGAAAGCTCTTTCAAAGTGAAGGGAGAGGTTCAGGTTCTGACTGGAATGGTCTTAGCAGCTCTGCACTCCCAGGCTGCATCCCGCAACTTTCCGTAGTCTTGGAGTGAAAGCAGCCAATCCGCAGAAACACTCCCAGCACTGCTAGCGCAGCTTTGCTGCTGCTCCTACTTCTCCTACTACTCCTGCTCCTCTCCTTGTCCCACTACCACTACCACTACCACGACCACCACCACTACTACCACCACCACTATAACTACTGCAACCATTACTGCTGCTGCTACTGCTACTGCTACTGCTACTGCTACTGCTACTGCTACTGCTACTGCTACTGCTACTGCTACTGCTACTGCTACTGCTACTGCTACTGCTACTGCTAC